AGCCATGGTGACTGAATTAATGTCACATAAAGTAGACTTCGAGACAAAGGGGTATTACCAGTAATGAAAAGAGACACTTCCTAATGATAAAAAAAAATCACTACATCAGGAAGGCCAAATAATCATAAAGACATATAACCTAATTACAGCTTTGAAGTACATGAAAGAAACATCAACAGTTAAGGAAGGAGTAGACACACAATTATACCTGATAATTTTAAACTCTCACCAATTGATATAACTAGAACTATAAAGACAAGCAGAAGATCTGAAAAACACGATTATCCTGACTTACCATGATACTATAACTGTAGAATATACATTCTTTTCAAGTACATATGGTACTAATGTAGCTGGACCACAAAACAAGCCTCAATAAATTTAGAAAGACTAGACACATGCTGAATATGATTCTCTGACCACATTGGAAATAAGTTAGAAATAATTTGCCTTTTAAAAAAAATACAAATATTTGGAAATTAAGCAACACATGTAAATATTTTATGGGCCAAAGAAGAAAACAAAATATTTTTAACACAACATGAAAATAAAACATTCCAATAATTTCAGGATGCAGATAGCACTGCACTAATAGAGCAACTTAGAGCTTTAAAATGCCAACATTAGCAAAGAAGAAGGATCTAAGATCAGTGATATAAACATCTACTACAAGAAGCTTAAAAAGAAGAAAAAAACAATAAGAATAATAAAAATAATAGAGTAGAAGCTCCAAGTGGAATTTATCCCAGAAATGTAATACTTTTCTTCTTAAAAGTTAATGCTTTCTAATGTTCATGCTTAACAGTAGAAAATAAATTGATGAAATTCAACATTTATTAATAGAATAAAAGAGAAAAGTATTGCAATACATGAGAGACAGCATGAAACAAAATTAAGTACTCATCCATGTTTCATTTAAAAACCAGAATGAAAATAAAAGAAAACTTCTTCAACCAGATAAAGGGTATCCATGAAAAACCTATAGCTAACACCATATATAATGATGAGAAACTGAAAGCCTTCTCCTAAGATCTTCAGTAAAGTACCTACTTCCACCTGTTCTACTCAGTAATAAACTAAGGTACTAGCCATTGTAATAAGACAAGAAAAAAAGATGGAGAAGGAAGAACCAAAGCTCAGATGTCATGATTATTTATATAAAAATTCCTAAAGGAATCAGTAAAACAATCATTATAATTAATAATCAAATTAACAAGTTTGGAGGAAAAAAGTAATTCACAAAAAGTCATCTTTATTTTTATATACCATGTCAAAAGCAAATGATTAAAAAACATTTTGAAATTCCATTTACAATGGCATCAAAAGAACATGACTTTACAAAATGATATGAACATGGCTTTACAAAATGACTTTATAAAAGTTATGCAAGATCTCTATAAAAATTTTCTAGAAAATCAAAATAAATAGAGGGATATACATTACTCATGAACCATTCAAGATATCAGTTCTCCCAAAAATAGTTCAACATAATCCTAATGAAGATCACACAAGGCTTTTTCTGATGAAATTTAATAAGCTGATTCTAACATTTTTTAATGGAAAAAATTATTAAAATAAATCTTGAAAATGAAGAATGAAGTTGGAAGACTCACACTTCTTCAATTCAAGATCTCCTACACAGCTACAAAATAGAACAGTAATCTGCATACTGTGGTATTAGCATGGGAGTAGAGAAATAAGATAACAAAATACAGATTCCTGAAATAAATTCATTCCTATTGTCAACAAATGACCCTGGAATAATTGGATATCCATGTGGAGAAAATGAATAACTCTGACCTCACACCATACAGAAATAAACTTAAATGGATCAGGGACCCAAATATAAAAGCTGGGGGAAAGGAGACAAAACACTGCACTCTTGAGGGAGGGTGTGTGTGTGTGTGTGTGTGTGTGTGTGTGTGTGTTTGGTTTTTGTTGATAGTCCTTTTTAAAAATTTATTTATTTTTATGCAGTGCTGAGAATGGAACCCAATGCCTCTCACATGCCAGGTAAGCACTCTACCACTGGGCCACAACCCTGGCTCAATGATTTCTTAATATACAGAAATTGAAGCTTCAAGATTGATACATTGGACTAAACAATGTACCAAAATTAAAACATCTGTCAGAAAACATTTAAGAACATAAATAGGCAAGCCAGAGGTAGAAAATAGTTGCAAAATGCATGTCTAAGAAAGAACTGATATCCTGGATATATAAAGACACTCTATAACTCAATAATAGAGAAAACATTGTTCAGTGGGCAGAAAATTGACAAAGATATATAAATGTCCAACCAAAGATGCAATTTTTTTTACTCCTAGAACTTTACCCAAGAGAGATGAAAACACATATCATTATTTATGATGACCAAAATTTTCCAACATCCTGGTTTCTACCAATAGAAGAGTGAATAAAACTCTGTTACATCCAAACAATAAAAAAACTAGAGAAAAATTACTAAGATATATAACATGAATAAGTCTCAAAAATCTCTCAGGAGTAAAATTGCTGGATCATAGGGTATCATCATGTATTTAGTTTTGTAAGAAACTACCTGACATTTTCTCAAAGTAACTATCATAACTGACAATGTAGAACAGTTCCAGAAGCTTCCATATCCTTGATTTACATAAAAGACTTGACTATATGATTCTGTCTAGTTCCAAAGCAGGCAAAACCAAGTTCTATAAAAGCTGAAATAATCCATGGTAGGAGTATTGAGAGCAGTGGTTTCCTCTGAAGGAATGAGGGTGGGGATTTACTGGAAAGGGACTTAGGGCCTGTTGGTGATGGTGGTTGATAGATTGGATAGATCAGTGTTTGACTTCCAAAGGTGTACACATTTGTGAGAACTCACCTGATGGTACCCTTAAGATTTGTCCATTTCATTATATGTAAAATTTACTGCAAAATTAAAAAAAAAAATCTGTCAATGTTAAACTCTAGGTAATGGCAGAAGTACTGGGAATGCAGGCAGAAATGTATCCATGTCCACCACTTTTTGAAATGCATCCCAACTGCGTTGATGATGGAGAGAGGGACAGAAAAAATATATAATAAAGTATAATAAATGTTAATTGTAGAATCTAGGTTGTGGGTATCGCTGTAGAATTGGCTGAACTTTTGGAAATGTTTTGAGTTTTTTATAATAAAATGGGGGTGGGGAAGGATCGTTGTGGTCTAATCCTGCAGTATACACATGTCCCTGTTCTATTTCCCCCTTAAGCTCCTATCCCAATGGGCTAAAGAGAGGCATTGGGGAGTCAATAACGGAGCCAAGGAACGCATTGGGGCTTCTAATGAACTCGCTGGAGCTATTTATTCGATTGGTTTTACTAAACAGGCCTGGAAGCCCTTCTCTCTGTGTTCCTAGTTGAGAATACTGGTAGGTGGATCCCCTGGGAGCACACGCTGGGAATACGGAAAAATTCGACTCAGCTCGCAGGTGCCCACGTATCCACTCCTTCTTGGATCCATATTCAGTCCCACGCGCCCGGGGCGGGTGACTCTGGAGGGGCGGTGTGTGGCTGGGTTCACGCGTGGGGGCGAGATGTGTCGGAAGAGGACCGAGCGCCCTCTCCTGGCCCCGGAGGGACCCACGCAGGCCGCCTAAGCACCCGACCCGCCTCCCCAGCACCGGCTCCCGGGATCTGCGCACCGGGTGGGAGCGCTGCAGCCCCGAGGTTGGCGGAGACCAGCCCAAGAGGCGGCCCTCGCGGCCAGCAGGCGGGCGACAGGGTGGAGTCGCTTCGGCTGGCAGCCGCTCGGCTCCACCTGTTGCGGTGTCGGAGCACGCCCGCTAGGAAAGGCCGAGCTGCACTCGGCAGGGCAGGGCCGAGGAGGAAACCCCGGGACAATCCTGACAGAGCGGTACAGAGGGAGGTGAGACTGAGCGCAGCCGCGGCGCCCACACCTGCTACGAGGGGAGGTGCCTGGGAGGGCGCCCCGCGGTCTGCTGGCGAGCCTTGCTGTGGATCTGCATGGAGTAGCGCGAGCACCTGCGCGAAGCCCCTGCCTCCCTCCCCCAAGAACTACGAGCTGAGACAGCCAAGACCGGGTGGGAGAAAGGGAACTCTTTGGGATCTCCTGGCCGCTGTCCTTGAGGGGCCGCCAGCTCTCTGGAGAGCTGGCCTGGCCAAGCCAACAGGTGCGTGCAGAGAACACCCCCCGCGCAGGACCCAGAGGCCAAGGACACGCTGGCTGGGGAGATGCTCCTAACTTCCTTATTCCTCCCTTTCTGGTCTCTCTCCAGCCGATCCACCTGCTGGATGCCACGCTGCGTGGGGGTCGGGCGGGAGGTTCAAGCCTGCAGATGCCACTCTGCACAGTCCCTCAGTTCGTGCGCCTGCCCTGGACGGGTATCCAGCTTCTAAGCCCAGGCAGTCGGGTCGGTGACTCGAGGGGCAAGAGGCTTGGCGCGACAGGGCGACTAGGACGCACCACTGCGGATCCGACTGGGTGGGCAACTCCAAAGCCAGTAGACACCCCACCACCCGCTTCGTAGGCATCGGCGGCTTAAGAAGTGAGGTCGGAGGGACAAAGACCCGAGGGCTCCGCTGACCTACCTACCTCTCTGGACTCCCACCTCTGATTCCGGGGAAGTTCAAGTCCTCTCCAGTTTGCCGTGAAGACGCGCCACGCCCCCTCCCCAGTCTGGGCCCAGCGGGGACCCCGAGGTGAAACCCCTTGCCCGCGTCATCGTGCCAAGCCTCAAAGGACTCTGCGCTCGGACTCTCGAGTCGTCAGTGTTAAGGAGAACTCCAAGGCCGGCAGGAAACGGCGGCGACAAAGCGGATTCGAAACCAGGACGTGGGAGCTGGTGCCGCAGAAGCGGCGGAGGCGCTGTGGGAGCGCCCGGCGGTCATGGGTGAGCCAACCGCGGGGCGTCCGGGAGCGGGCTGAGTGCCCGCCGAGCCGCGACCTCCCCGGGGTGCGGACCAGAGCCCGCCTGCGCCCAGGGCGGTCTGGCACGGGGCTGTCCCGGGGGCCCGGCCATGGCCGGCCGGGGTTGCAGCTGTGGTCCCGGCCACTTGAATGAGGACAACGCGCGCTTCCTGCTGCTCGCCGCGCTCATCCTGCTCTACCTCTTGGGGGGCGCCGCCGTCTTCTCCGCGCTGGAGCTGGCGCACGAGCGTCAAGCCAAGCAGCGCTGGGAAGAGCGCCTGGCCAACTTCAGCCGCGGCCACAACCTCAGCCGCGAAGAGCTGCGCGGCTTCCTCCGCCACTACGAGGAAGCCACCAGGGCCGGCATCCGCATGGACAACGTCCGTCCGCGCTGGGACTTCACCGGCGCCTTCTACTTCGTGGGCACCGTTGTGTCCACCATAGGTAAGTGAGCCGGGGGCCTCTAGGGGTCCCCACGGGTCCCCACTCCCTCCTACCCCCGCTGAGCAGGACTGAGCCTTTCAGCCTTCCATTCATCTCGGGGCGCCCCGCCCGCTCCACCAGGTGAGCTGTTGCCTGATCCACAAGTGATGGTGCGGAGCCGCCTCGACTCTTATTAGAAATTCAGTTTGTCCCCTCCCCAGACCTCCTGAGTCAAAACCGCATGTTAATCTGCCCCAGGGGATTTGAATGATCCTTAAATTGGAGAAGCTCTGCTGCAGGAGATTTTCTGATCTAGTTAAGGAGGCAGGATTTGAGTTCCTGGAACTTTGAGGAGAAAGCTTTCAAATAGAGACAGGAACCTATGAACATGTACTGAGTAAGGACTTCACAAGCCACTGGTCAGAGGAGATGCCCGAATTTAAGAAGACTCTGGCCATGACTTCAAATTTACAAAGAGAAACCCAGATAGAATTCCAGATTGGATGTAAGGGACAGAGGTTTGATAAATGTTCAAAGGATAGAGGGTGTTCAGGGAGGGACGGAAATAAGTGACCCTTGGGCTGAACCAGTAGGTGTTTGGCATGATTTGGGTTTGCATTGTGGAGCAGACGGGAATTGTATTCAGGGGTTCCATGAGCTGGTGGCTCTGGGGTAGTGGAAGGAAGGTGGGAAGGTCTGCTGGCTAATGGGTGGAGAAGGAGGTCTTTTCTGCCACCCTCGGCACTAGAACTTTTCTGGAGGCAGTTGGGAGCCATGGAGAATCTTGAGCAAGGGTGTGACATGGCTACTTTCAGCTGTGCAGTTACACCCCTCCCTCAGGAAGCAATGAGGGGGAGGTCTTTGTACCACCCTCCTAAAAATGCATAATCCAGCAGGTTGAGGGAGGTGCTGTGGAAATTCTGAGAAGAGGGTTGGAGCAGGGAAAGAGTTTTGAAAGACTAGATAGAGAGAAAGGAAGTGGCTTGCAGCTGCCAGAACACCAGGACAGCAAAAGGGCTCATGCTGGCAGCAGCACAGGGTGTGCACACTTTGTGATCTGCAGCTAGGGTCCCTTGCTCTCTAAAGGGCCTGTCGGCGAAGCAGGTGACAAGGTGAACCTCCTTGAGCCTCCCACACAGCCTCATGGCAGTAGACATTCTGCCAGGGGTACATTCTGCACAGAGTACAGAACAGATCAGCCTTGGTCCTGATTAGTCAAGAAAGACTTCCCAAGGTCAGTCCTGGTACCCCGAGTTTCAGCGACTGAGTGGGAAGCAAGGCAGAGGGGATCAGCATGACTGGGAACACACAGGCCATATCTAAAGAGCTTTGTGCTAAAGAAACCAGATCATGACCCCCTTCCCATCCTGGTGGCCCTGCCTATTAGCAGCCCTGACAGCACCATGGTAACTGGGTGTCTGGCAGGAAAACTCTCAGGGCATTGTCCATGTGACTAGAAGCCTAGGGCCCTGCAGGGGGTGGCCCCGGGGAGTATGTCCTTCCCCAGCCTGTATTCTCTGCTGGACTTTCTTAGCAGTGTTCTATGAGTCCCTCATGACATCACTTCCCATGTCTCTGAAAACCAGTTTCAGAATTTCTACATATGGGACACTTGGCAATGAACAGACTGATTTGGAGGTGTCACTTTGAAACTTACCTTGAATCTGTGGTGTTTGCATAGCAAGTTCAGGATTTCCGTTAGATTGAATGATATTTGGGGTGGCTTTGGTGTGAGATTAGGGGGCTGAATCCTCCCCACCATCATAAACCGTATGTTGGTGCTTCCCATGGACATGGAGGTAGGAGGAGCGTGCCTGTGCGTGGGCTAGTGAACCTGGATACCATAGGCACAGGGAAGGCCATGGGCAGGTGGACATGTAGGAACGTAGGCTTTGAGCTGAAAATATGATAAAGTAGCTGGTGAAGCAGGATGAGACCTGCACACCGAACCTGCATCGGAGCCTCTGTAATTGGGAAAGTTCCTTAACCCTTCTGAGTCATGTGCCTCTCATCAAAGGTGTCTAGGAAGTGCCCACCTTAGAATCTCGAACTATGTAACTGTTGGGTGAATCAGTCCTGCCTCCTTCTCTCCTTGTAAGTCTGCAGTGAGTCTCGGATGAGAACAATGAACTCCTGTAAGGAAACTTAAAAAATACAAAGCATGCTGAGTACAGGGGTGCACTCCTATAATCCCAGCTACTCAGGAGGCTGAGGCAGGAGGATCATGAGTTTGAGGTCAGCCTCAGCAATTTAGCAAGACCCTGTTTCAAAATTAAAAAGAGCTGAGGTTGTAGCTCAGCAGTAGAGTGCTTGCCTGGCACGCCTAAGGGTTCAATGCCTACGATTGCAAAAAAAAAAAAAAAAAAAAAAGTTCAAAGTGTTACATGGGTAGATTTATTTTACTTTCTTATTTTTATAATATTTCTTTTTAAATTATTTTATTTATTGCTATTAGAATAACAGCTGTTCTTTATTAATCCAGTGAGAAGATACTTGTATACCCATGTTCACAATGGCATTATTCACAATAGCCAAAAGGTAGAAACAACCCAAATGTTCATCCATAGGTGTAGGATAAATGAAATGTGGTGTAAACATTACAGTGGAATGTATTCAGCCATAAAAAGTTAAATTTCTGTACAGTATAGATGGACCCTGAAAACAATTCTACTTGATGAAATAAGCCAGACATAGAAGGACACACATTGTCTGATTCCACTTACGTGAGATGCCTGGAATAGGAAAATTCATAAGAGACAGTAAAATAGAGGTTGCCAGAGGCAGAGAGAAGGCGAGAGGGAGCATTGTTATTTAATAGGTAGATGAAACAGTTTTAGGTATAGATGGTGATGATGCTCATGCAACATTGTGAACGTGTTTAATGCTTTCAAATTGTGCACTTGCGTATGCATAAAATGATAAATCTGTATCATTTTTCACAATAAAAAAGGAAGCCAGAGCAGGATATTAAAACATGATGGAGGAGTGTTGATGGTAAAGGGTCGGTGACTGGCCTTGAAACAAGAATCAATTTCAAGTTCTCAAAGACATAGCTTAGCAGTATAACCTGTAAATGGTCTTCTGCAAATAGCTTTTTCCTGAAAGAGGCTTTACCTGGGCTTGTGTTTCTGTGTTTACTTACTTGTTTATAACTGAGCATCTGGACATAAAGGATTTGAGGTACTTTGCATGTGAGATAGTCAGCAGGCACAAATTATGGTGCAGTAGCCAGCCACCCCCCAAATCTTGACAGATAGCGAAGTTTACTTTTGACCGGCACACAGTCCCCTTTGGACTCAGGTGGCTCTCTAGGGCCGTTGTCTCCTGCGTGGTCTCAGTGCTCCAGCTGCTTTTCTTTTGTGGCTTCTCTTCATCGCCACCTGGTCCCAGGACTGACTGGGAAGGGAAAGGAAGGCTCAAGAATTGAGCACCACCAATGACATGGCCACCACAAGTCATCTCTCCTCTTGTCTCCTTGGTCAGAGCAAGTCACATGGCCACACCAAACTTAAAGAGTCAAGCAGTGGGAGAGATCTGATATCCGTGGACAGAATGGATGATGCCTCCCATGCATCCCTACACACTGGTCTAGAAAGGATGCCAATAGGCGTAAAACTCCAAGGAGGTGAGAAAAGATGAGCGGGATGGGAAAATTAGCCCCATTTGCTGATACACAGGGACATATGGCAAAAGGACCTGTATCATTGCCAAACTGAACCCCAAATTTGGCTCTGAGTTTTTCCATTGTCAGAGAGGCAACAATGACCATTAAATGAGTCCCTTATCCAAGCTGGCTTCTTCAGTCTGGAATAAAAATTCCTCCTGCATCTTGTCGTAAAGGGGCAAGATAATGTGGTGAGAGAGTTCCTCCACAGCTTAGCCAGAAGTATGAAAGAGAACTGTGTGCCGTACGTGGTGCGATTAAACAAGAGCCCCTCTGCCAAAGCCCAAAGCTGCACAGAGCAAGTAGGCAGCTCTGGATGATCCCATTCAAGGCCATTTGAGTCCTCTCTGGTGGTCCCCAAGCTTTGAGTCTGGAAGAACCCACCTGGGAGATCAGGTTAAGACACAGGTGCATGAGGCCTCCTTTTTCAGAGATGCTGGTGTGGTAGATGTGCACTTTCAGAAACTTCTTTGAAGGTGATTCTGTTGGGCAGTAGATTGAGTAAGGACACCTGGAGGGACCCCACATCTTAAGACATATATGATAGGAGTGGGCATCGACTTGAAAACTGAGACCTTCCTCAAGGATCCTTGCTACTTAGAATGGCCTATTAACCAGATGCCTCAGCATCACCAAGAAGCTTATTAGACAGGGAGTCTCAGTTGGACCCCAGACCATTGGGATCAGAGTCTGCTCTTTAATGAAACAGCCGGCAGGTCCTGGGCACATTCAAGGCTGGGAAGCCTGGAGTCTGGAGGGCTCTTACCTGTGGTGCTGCTGATGAGGGTAGGCACCCCTGGGACTTCAAACACAGACAAAGCAGGGGCCAGGCTGGTCAGCAGGAGAGATTGCTCATCTGTTGCCTTGCTGGAGTTCCTCACCAGCTGGAAGCCAAGCACGCCCAGGGGCAATCAGTCAAGCGTCATCTAGATGTGGGGATGTGTTGGGCTTGGGCTCGGGCCACACAGCTTGTGAGGTCTGAGACACAGAGAGGCTTGGCCCTTCTAGTGGAGACCACTCAAGATGTGTGATCTAATTTTCAACAAGAGTTTTTATTCATTTTAGTTGAACAGAAACAATTCCACTGGTGCCCATTTGGGCCCAGGCAGAGCTCATGGAAGCAGATTCCCGAGTCTCTCGTGGGGTCCCGGAGCTAAGCCGGCAGGCGTGTGGCTTGGCCTGGTTTGTGTGTGGATCGATGGAGTACAAAACTGAATATTGCTTGGGGAATCATTTTTTTCCCCACAAGGGAACAAGGCTGAGAAAAGAGCTTTTTCAAATCAAATGATATGAAGTCTAACCAATAAAATATTAGGAATTACTATTTTATAGTATCAAAATGATGTCAACTGACATC